GACAATTTACTCCATTGATCAATATTTTAATTTAAATTTTTAATTAAATAAAAAGTTAAATAAAAAAATCAAAGACTTCAACTGTCTTTAAAGTAAAAATAAAATAAGCGTATAACATAAGTTAAATAATTGAAATCTCATTACGTGGCATTTAACTTTGTAATACTTTGGATCTGAAGAAAAATAAATAAATAAACAATATAATATTTTTATATTTATTTTCATATCATCAACCCAAACATCTAGGGGCGTAAAAAGTTGACCCTACCTGCAAAACTGATTGAACTTGTGTTTACCTGAATCCGAGTTGGACCTGGAAATTATGGATCCAAACCCGACCTGTATCCGACTGATATGAACCCGAAACCGAGATTGACCTGGTAAATAACTGGTATTACCCGACCTGTTTTCAACCTAACCTGTTTTCAACCTGACATGTTTTTAACATGACCCATTTTTAACCTTATATAATATTTACCTGACTTATATATTATCATGGACGAAATTATAAGATTTTAATAAAATTATGAGTTTTTTAGTTTATGATATAATTAAAAAATTAATATAATTACTTTTTAAATGTTATAATAAATAAGATTTTAATAAAATTATGAGTTTTTTAGTTTATGATGTAATTAAAAAATTAATATAATTATTTTTTAAATGTTATAATAAAATATTTTTTATGATAATTAAATTAATAAATAGACCTGTTATATAAAATTATTTAAATGTATAATAGATAAAACATGATTAATAATGCAAAGGAAATTTAATATAGTTTAATTTATATAAAGAAAAAAATAATATTAATAATGAAAGTATTTATTATGTAATATATATTAACGTTTTACATTATTAATATAAATATTTTTAGCAATACATTAGTTTACATAGGTCCAATACATAAGCCCACTCTTTTATTACAAATATATATATGCATTAGTGTTAGGCTATTTATATTAGGGTTTAGGGTTTAGTATTTATGGTTTAAAGTTTAGGGTTTAGAATTTATAATTGGGGTTTAGAGTTTAGGATTTCTATAATTAATATACTTTATTACTTTATATAATTTATGCATAGTGTTTCTATAAACTATATAAAGTAAATTACTTATATAGTTTATATATATAGGTTATATATATATATATACTATACATGGTTTATACATACATATTATATAAAATTATTTAATAAAATTAATAAAATTATTTAAATGTAAATTATATAAAATATGATTAATTAAGTGTTAAATAATTAGTTTTTGATCGGTTTTAAGGTTTATGATTTAAACTAATCATTTATTATTTTATTACTACAAGTAGATTTAAATTTGAGAGTTTGGATTTGTTTTTTGATCGGGTTTTTCTTGTGATTCGAATTTGGTTTGGGAAATTTGAAATTTACGCGCCGAAATGAACAAGAATTGGAGCGTTTTGAATGGTTTTACTTTTTCCCCAATTAATTTTGCTTTTTTCCCACTTAAGTGCATTTTTCATGCTTGAGTTACTGCCGTCGCATGGGGTCCACGTTTTATTCGTTTTTCATTTTTGGGTAAACTACATTATATGACACCAAACTTTAGACGTTGTATCTTTTATACTACAGAACTTTTAATTTTACCAATTATAACATTGAACTTTGATTTTTTTGTTTCAATTATATCACTGAATCATTAACGACACAATAACATGACTAATAGCTACTGACATGGCTAACAGTTGTTGACATAGACAACTCATCAAAACTGCATCATTTTGATCTAGCTGGTTTATATATATATATATATATATATACATGGTTTATGCATACATATTATATAAAATTATTTAATAAATTAAAATTATTTAAATATAAAATATAAAACATGATTAATTATGTGTTAAATAATTAGTATGTCACATTGCATATATATGGTTCATAAATAGTAGTACATGTCATTAATTTCATTTGCATAATTAGTATTTAGTTGCATGTTAGGTTAATTCACATTAATAGCCCATTTATTTTGTTGCTATGAATAAGTAATAATAAAACCCAAAAATAAGTCCATTTGCATTAGTGCTTGTCCATTTACGTTAGTTTATATAGGCCTAATACATAATCCCACTCTTTTATTACAAATATATATGCATTAGTGTTAGTCCATTTATATTAGGGTTTATGGTTTAGTGTTTAGTGTGTATGGTTTAAAGTTTAGGATTTTATTGTTTAGAGTTTAGGGTTTAGGTTTTTTTTAATAAACTATATACTTTATTATTTTATATAGTTTATGCATAGTGTTTCTATAATATATATATAATCTATAGATTACTTATATTTATACATATTATATATACTATTAATATAAATTATAATTATAAACTATAGTTATACATATATAGTTTATATACATACATACATATATATATATAGAAAATTAAAAGTAATTAGAATGTATATATGATTAAATTACATCGAATTGAAAATTCAAGAATATATTTACAATTAAACCATGACTAAAATGAAAGAAATAAAAAATCAAAAACAAGTAGAAAAATGATTATTATTGGAGGAGCATGAGCCTAATTAACCCAAAATATCTTGTTGGACACTATCATTGGCTCCAACTTCCCAAATTTTTCTATTCTCTCTAAATTCTTAATTTCCCTATATTCTCGAAATTTCTCAATTTCCCTCTAAATTCCCAAATAAAAACAATTTTTTTCACACAAAAAAAAAATCTTTCTTTTAAAAAGTTTTCTCCCACCACTCACTTTGAATAATATATATATATATATAATATATATATATATATATTATATAAATTAGTTTATAAACTATATACTTTTTATAATTTATACATATATATTTTACATATATAATTTATATATATAGTTCATATAAACATAATTTATATATATAGCTTATAATAATTATATAGTTTATAGACACCAAACTCTGCAATTAGAATGTCTTTGGGGGTGGTGCTTGTATCCGAAAAATTAAGGGAGGGAATACTACGGTGGTTTGGGCATGTCCTTAGGCGACAACCGTTTGATGCGGTCAAGAGGGTAGAGTCGATTATAGCCGATGATGCTAGAAGGAGAGGACGACCAAGGAGGAAGTGGTTAGACTGCTTGAGATCTGATTTGAAAGATCTAACCATTACCGAGGACATGACCTCTTACAGGAAAGTATGAAGACTTAAGATCAGGGTAGTCGAGTAGTGTGGGTCACAGCCATAGGGTGTAGCATCTCTGTCTTCTTTTTAATGCCTTTGTAGTAATTTCCATGACTTCTACTTTTAATACGTTCTTGTCATTGGAATTTATGAAGGCTTAGAACTAGGGTAGCAGAGTAGTGTAGCCTTACTTTAGGTTTTAACCCATTTGACTTTATTCCTTCTCATACCTTGTTATCGTTGACTACTGTGTATCATTCTCTTCATGTTTCCTCTTTTTAAATTTAGTCGGGATTTACGTTTCTGTCTATATACAGAGATTTTTACGTAGAGATTTATTTGCAGGGATTACTTCCCATTATATACGCGTATATGAAGACTGTTCAACTATGTATTTATTTATTTATACATGCATTGTATTTTATCTTTATTTTTAATTTTCTGACTGCCAGAGGTCTTCCACGGAAGCTCCTCTCAACCTGGTGTTGGGGGCAGCCTACTACCCTACCTCCTACTTACCCCATTGCATATGGGAATAGGGTTTTGTTGTTGTTGTGTTATATTATATATATATATATATATATATATTATTTTTCAATTTTTTTAAATAAATGAATTTATATTTTCATTTTTTATTCACATTTTACATTTATTTCAATTTAATCCTTTTGTGTTTTTAATTTATTTCAATTTTAAGTCTTTCACTTTTATATGTATTCAATTTAGTCCTTAAATTTATATTTGCATCTTTATTTGCCCCATTGTTAGTTGTTATTTATATATTTGTAACTAGCCCATAACTTTTTAAATGTTAATTTTGTCATTTTTTATATTAATTTAAACCTCACATTTTATTTCTTCATTTTATTTCGATTTAGTCCCTTACCTATGTGTGTTTTTAATTTATATTTTAAAATTTATTGTAATTTTAAATTTCATTTGTCCTTAAATTTATATTTTTTACAAAATTGATCCATGAATATTTATTTTTGCCTTAATTTTCTCGAAATCATATACAATTACAACTTGCAATTCAACAATCACGAAATATAACAAAATAATTAATCCAAAAATAGAAACGACCCGACCTGAACTCAATTCATATTCGGTAAACATCCGACCTGAATTTTATCTGTCAATGATGTGACTCGATTTGAACGAGATCCGACTGACTGAAGTACACCCGAACCTGAATTAACCTGTTCTTTATCTGCTTCGGATCTGAACTGTTTTGACCTGAACTGACATCGATCCGAACTGAAAATGACCTGACCTGACATCGATCCGAACTGAAAATGACCTGACCTGAACCCGATCTGGATCTGGTGTCAAATCAACCTGAGTTGACATGTACCCGATTTTATCCGACCTGCCAAGATCCGACTGAAACATGTCCGATTACCTGACATCATCAATCAAACCATTTCACATTTTCACCAACGACAAACAACAATTGTAATTTCATAGCTAATATTAGCCTTACCCGCTTACCTTTTCCTTTCTAATTTTCTGGAATCTGCGAAAATCTGTTTATATATATATATATATATATATATATATATATATATATATTCTTCCATTTTCATCCGCAAAGATTTTACTATCGGAGAAGAAGATCCATATAATTTTGACGAATTTCGGAGAAATTTACCGGCGTTCGTGTTTACTATGTCCGAGTCTTTAATGAGGAAGTAGTCTGAGCAGGAGAGGTCAAAGGTTTATTATAGCCAGGTTTTGTTTGAGTTTCATATTGTTGTTGCGTTTGGAGCGGCAAAACTCCACGGAGCAATGATTTGGCGCAAGAATGAGGTATTGTACGGATTTAGTTAAAAGGATTTTTTTTTTCTGTAAACGGAAACTAAAAATCAAAATTAGGCACGGTTTTGGCCTTCGTGCATGTTCTTCTGTTAAATTCCCTGAGCTCAAGGCTCAGGTAGGAGATCCGAAGCTAGAATTTTGAAATTCGTAGAAAAAAGAAGCTTTATCATGGAATCTTCCGCGGCAGAAAATTATGATATTATTGACAATAATGGCTGCTCCTCGCAATCTCAGACTTCTACCTGTATGCAGAAATTCAGACTCTACGAAACTCGATCGGTAATTTTTTTTCTTCTTCGTTTATTTATGTCTTTCATTGTATTAAGATTTGGTGCATTTATGATCTGTTTAACTTTTATTGTTAGTAATTTAGCTTCGATGTGTGGTTTTAGTTAAACTAACATTCATTTAAGCTTTGAATTATTAAATTACGTTGCTATATTTTTATTTTGATTGTTTGCATTGTAATGTTTGTGTCCAGAACTTTTATATGATTGGAAGGAATAAGAGTAAAACTTATTGGAGAGTATTAAAGATTGATAGGCTTGATCCTCTTGATTTGAATATTCGTGAGGATTCTACCAATTACACGGAGTTTCAATGCTCGGAGTTGTTGAGGCGAATACACGAAGGAAATAAACCCACTGGCGGATTGAAGTTTGTTACGGCTTGTTACGGCATTGTTGGTAGGGATTTTGAAATGTGTACTGACTTTAGGGGACTATTATTGCTATGTAAATTCCTATCCTGTGCCTATTTGTTTTTCATGTTTTAGGGTTTATTAAATTTTTGGGGCCTTACTATATGCTGCTTATTACAAAACGAAAACGAATTGGTGCAATTTGCGGTCACAATGTATATGCAGTTTCGAAAAGTGAGATAATTCTCCTCCCGAATTCAACTGTCAACCCAGGCATTTCGGACGTTAGGAATGAAAATAGGTCTTCTTCTATTTTGTGTGCTAACTTCTTTATCTACTGCTAGGATGTCATTAATGTTTTGCAGAAATATGTTTTGTTGTGTTGTGTGAAAAGTAGATTGTTTCATTTTTCCTTTAGGTACAAGAAGCTCCTAGGCATGGTGGATCTTACAAAGGACTTCTTCTTCAGCTATTCATACCATGTTATGCATAGTCTTCAAAAGAACTTGTGTAATAATGAACGAGGCCAAGTTCTTTATGAGAGCATGTTTGTTTAGAATGAGAGTCAAATTTCATTTTGCACTAACAACCTTAACCATTCTTCTTCTATTCTTGAATTTTCATTGTTGCAGGATGACGAGAAAAGCACTTTAAGAGACATTTCAAACACATTGCCAATCCTAAAGATGATCGAACATCGTCCATGCTTTAATCATGTTTCAAAGGAGGATCCAATGAAGTTTTCTATCACCAAGGAACCGGTGCCTAATAAGATCATCAAACATCCTCCATGGTTTGATTTTTCCTTTTCTTTTGTTATTGAATTATTTACTTCTAAATTTGATTTACTTTTCAGAGGGATGATTCAAAAACAAGAAATTGATGTATTGAGTTGCAAGGATAAGTTTCTTTGCAATCTTGAGATGAAATTGCCACTCTCCATTTTGCAAATAGGTGATTTGAAGAAAACGCTATCCACCTACTCAAGAGCCATCATATGAAAGGGCACAAAGATTAAAGGAGATGGTGTAACCTTCCTACTTGAAGGAGTTCAAAGGTCAAGACTCTCCACCCACCCTCATGATGATTCAAAGGAACACAAATGAGTGCCAAGAACATATACCTAGTCGGATGAACAACATGGAAATGAAGTGCACAAGTAAGCAAAACTTAATTCCAAAGAATGGTGTTTGTGCAAAACAAGAATGAAGAAGTTCCCAGCTAAAAGAAAGTCGAGATTGTTTCCTTTTGTAGCAAGTGTCGATTTGGGGACAAATCACATTAAAGAGGGAGGGAATGATGTGATCCCAATCAGCCCTAACTTTCGTCTTGATCTGATTAAATCATTGAAGTTCACCAAGGCTGATTCAAAGGGAGTTCTACCTTACTTCATCCTATACCTGCTCATTTATGCACTATATTTTATCATATGTTTGTATTTACCTCTTAGGATATGCTTATCATATGATATCATTCATTGCATGAGTTTTATTAGTTGCATGACATTCATTGCATTTAATAAGTGTGTTGTTCATTTAAACATTCATTGCATTTAAATCATCTAGTTCATTTAGGGAAGTAGTTCATTCATGCATATTTAGATCATTTAGTAAGCTACTTCATTCATTCATCTAGTTCATTGAATAAAGTTATTTCATTAATTATACTAGTTCATTCATCAAACTAGTTCATTTATTAAACTAACTCTTAATTGTTTCATGCATGTTTTCAATTAAATATTGAATAAAGTTCACCTTTATGTCTAGGTGCATGAGAGAAGTTGAACGGTTTCAACAAATGCAAGAATATCAGTCATAATGTCTTCTAATTCTGGATGTGATACAGACGTCAATCTGATATCGGGAGCTTGAGATATGATCGATTTACTGAAGATGGATGAGTTTGAGCCAAGGAAGAGTCCTTTCATCTTCTACCAAGAGACAAGAAATTGATGGCCATTTTAATTCACCAATTCAAGGTATTCAAGGAAGAGTCCATTCATGTTCAAGCAAGGGGACATGCAATAACCAGTATTAAAAACTTAGCATTCAAGACCTTTATCATCTTTTGAAGGCTGATCATATTCTACAAGGGAACAATCAATGAAGATTGATTTTATTTATTTAACCACCAAATTAAGTTATTTTTTTATCAAATTATTGAATTGGATAATCAATTTGAGCAATTGAGCATTTTCATGTGAAAACCCAAATCGAATCACACTAATTAAAAGACTAATATGAAATTAAACCTAATATCAAGGCTCTAATTGTTAACCTAATTCAATTATGCCAATTTGGAAGTTCTAATTAAAAGTTTAAGGACTAAAATGTGAACAATCTAAAGTCAAGGGACTAAATCTGAATTAAGGCTCTAATTAAAAAAACCTAATTAATTATGTTAAAAGAAAACCTAATTAAAAGTCTAAGGGCTAAATTTTGAAATCTAAAATATATGTTTTCTAACTAGGGACTAGATCTAAAAGAAGAACTAAATCTAAAGTCTAAACTAAAGGAGAATGAAACTAAAGAATTAAACCTAAAACTTTACTAAAACAAAGCTTAAAGGAAAGTAAATTAAAAGTAACAAAATTAATAATAAAAAAGCATACGTTTAATAAATAAATAAATCTAGATATGAAAAAATTAATAATTTATCAAATAATACAATTCACATGCTAGAAATTTAATACCTCAAATTAAGATTTACTAATGATAAAATCAATCAAGGATCAAAATACAACAAACTAATATCCAGGGATTAAATCAGAATAAAATGTAATGACCAGATTAAAGATAGATGAAAATAAAGCACCAAATTAAAGTAAACTTAAAAATCATGGATTTAGTGACCAAAATGTAAAACACGGAGGAGGTTGGACTGCCGTCTCCAGTGGCCGTTGAAGCCCAAAATACATCGATGAGCTCGTCTCGGCAACGGGAACACAGATCCACCTTTAGTTTCACCGGAAAATGCTTCAAGATCTAAAAAAAGGTCGAGAACCTTTCAACTCTGCCTCACCAATATCCTCCGTCAGTCGTTGGATCAAACTACTTTTGAGGAATGTTACTCCTGGGGACACGCCATGTCTTCTGGCCGTTTAGATTAGCCAAAGGAGGCTCTGATCGCCAGTGAGTCTTCGAAAACCTCACACACAGTTAGACGCTCGCACAACCCAAGTGAACCGACAGGAAACCCCTTTGTCTTCTATGTTTTTTTTTGTTTTGAAGAAATGAAAAAAAGGAATACAAAAATGACCACTGTTTGTTATTCAAAATAGATATAGAAAATACTTTAAAAAAGCAAAAAAAAGGGTTTTTCGTTTGTTGTATTGCTTTCTGTAAGAACAGAGGAGAAAATATACTTGTATTACATTACATCAAAAAATGGGGAAGACTCCTTATAAAATTCTCTGGTTTTTCGAATGGGGAGGGGGAGAATTTACACTATTGCTTTCGAATGGTTAAAAAAAAGGTCATCCTTTACATTGTTTAATGGGGTTTATATAACCCCTTTTACAAATTGTTAAGAAAAAAATGAAAATTACAAAATCGTTTACAATTTTGTCTCTTTTGCTTGCATGTAATCCTGCTGATGGCCGTTTTGGAGGTCAGTTGTTGGGCTCTACCATTCTGTTATCATAGAGGGGACCACCGTGGGGCTCTGCTGTGAATCCTTCACGTGGACTGGGACTGATGGTACGTGTGGTGGCTCACACACGAGAAGCTATGAACGAAGGTAGACCATCGGATGATTCACTGTTAACAGTAGTGATTATTAGATCATGCACCTGGTTAGGGGTGTTCAAATTTTCGAATTAATTCGGTTAATTGATCGAATCGAATCAGTTTGGTTAATTCGGTCGGTTACCGAATTAGTTCGGTCGGTTAACGGTTAATAATTTTTTAGATATTCGATTAACGATTAATTCGGTTTGAAATCAATTAATTAACCGAATTAAATATTTTTTTAATATTTTTTCACCCTGCTGCCTCTCACTTCCTTTTCTAGATAATAGATATTCATAAATACATTATCCAATGATGTCTGCTACTTTGATTTTTGCAGAATATCCAAGGGACATTGCCCCCCACTTCCTAAAAATATACACGAAACCCATAAAAATGAATTAACAAATATTATACTGGCCTAGAAATATTAACAAAGACTAACCGCTTTACCTCTTTTCCACAACACTGAGAAAATACAATAACATCTGCACCAAGACTCATGGTACTAGTCTTAAATCCGTTGCAATTTCCTCGGTTATAATTTTTTTCTGTCTTTTTGTGTAAGGTATGGGCGTGAGATGGCAGGTGGAGTATGGTGTAGTGGAGCATGGGTGAGGCAGCATTGCCTTGATTTCTGGCTAAACTGTTTTTTTAATTAAAAAATATTAAATTCTAAAAAAATTCGGTTAATTCAAAAATTAACCTAATTAATCGAAATTTATTCAGTTCGATTAATACTTTTATAAAAAAAATTGGTTCGATTCGATTTTAACCGAATGAACACCCCTACAGCTGGCATGGAGGGCTCGGGTAGCAACTGGCAGCTACTGGCTAGGGTTTCTGGTTTAGCCACATTACAATGCAATGGGTTGTTGGGCTTAGTTATTTGTGTAATGGGTAGTGGGTTAATGTAATTAAGGAAATGGGTTATGTAAATGGTTCAAGGATTTGGGTAATGTAATGGGTTTAATTTGGGCTAAGTGAAAGAAACGGGTCATTGGGTGAGTTGTAAGGGTTTAATGTAATGGGTAAAGGTCTTTAAAAGGGTATTTTATTTGGTTCAAATGAAAAAGGTTAAAACACGTGGGACAAAAGTGAAAATGTTCAAAAATTCTTAAGGCCCCTGAATTGTTTCCCACTCACGCCACCAAAGCCACTTGAATTAACACATGAACCACTATAGATTGATCTTCGAACATCTTTGGGTATTACATATTTCTATCATTAGCTATAGGGATGGGTCCGACCCGACCCCTTTTTTTAAATTTTAGATTTGGGTCAGGTCGGGTAGGGTTTTTTAATTGTGATGTTCGGGTCGGGTCGGGTTCGGGTTTAGGGTGAAAAATATCCGATCCGACCCGACCAAAATAAATAATTTTACCTTATATATTTAGGAATAATTACAATAATACCCCTCTATATATTATTTTTTTCAATTAAGTCACTATTTTTATTAAATAAAAATAATATTTTTATTATTTCGGGTTGGGTCGGGTCGGGTTTTTAAGTTATATATCGGGTCGGGTGAAATCTTGTTTTGGTCGGGTCGGGTGGACCAAAAACCCAACCCGACCCATACCCATCCCTAATTAACTATAATATATAATATATAAAAATATTTTAATTAATACTTAAATATTAGATTTAGTCTATTGGTAAAAGCTTTGCTTGGTTACTAATTGATATTGGGTTCAAATGGAATTAAATTATTTTAGTTTTATTTTTATGCCTAAACTTGAACAAGTTATATAACATATGTATTATCTTGATAACAAGTGTGAGAATTAACTCAGTGATTAGTTCTAAAATCTAAGAGATTCAATCTATAAATTTAATACATGACTAGAATACAAGATTTTAAATATATTGCTCAAATTATGGCATTAGACAAATTAAAAACAAAATTAGGATCAAATTACATTAAATGAAAATCTAATGAAACAAATCATATACAAATAGTGACCAATATGGAAGAAAACAAAGCAGAGTGTCAGCGCAACGAATACGTAACTTTACAAGGATCCAATTTTGTTAACTATCCCATAAACATTTCCTTTAAATGTTAACGGCGTGAAGCTATATTGAAGCTATTTAAATAGTTGAGTGGTCATATTGATGCAAATTGAAAATGATGGTCATTTTGAGACTAAACCCCATAATTAGGTGGTCATTTATGTAGTTTACCCTTGTAAAAATCCCCCAAAATTTAAAAATTATTTTATGGATTCGGCTCACTACGTCTTCTATAGTCCCAATGAATGACAACCACAAATTTTAAAATGACTTTCAAATAACCGCTCACTTTTTATTTTTATGTAAAAAAAAGATAAAGATTAACTTTAGAAAAAAATGATATAAACAAACATTATTAATTAAAATCACAGATCACGCGGTGAACTGATACCATCTAATAATTTCTCCCAAAATCTTCACAACGTAGCCGGACTCATGTAACTGATTTTGAAATGGAATTTACAATTTCGCCCTTCGCCACCCCCATTATAAATAAACCTTCGTCCCTTTTTCTAATATCAAATCATTCGTTGAAATCTAAAAAAAAAAAACAGAAGCAATGGCTAGAGGCAGCATCACGCTTACAAAGCTGAAGTCAGTTTTAAAGAAGCTAAATTCGTTCAACAACAAACAAAATCGGCCGAAGTCATCCAGCTCTGTCGTGGTGGCTTCCAAAGCTGACGATGAATCGTCGGCTAAGCTCCATCCTGTCTACGTCGGGAATTCACGGCGGCGGTACCTTGTTAGTTCCGACATTATCGAGAGCGCGCTGTTCCGAGAACTAGCAGAACAGTCGGGAGAGCAAAACGACGCCGTCACCAACGTGTCGTGCGAGGTCGTCTTGTTCGAACACTTGCTTTGGATGCTCGAGAACGGTAGAGTCTTTAGAGGAGCTTGTTGACTTTTATGCCTGTTGAATTTCTTCCTCTTTTTTCAAAATTCAGTGATGAGAATTTGGGGGAAGATCAGGGGGGAGAGTGGATTTCGACGGTGAAGAATTCCGGCTAATTTGTCTTTGTCATTGCTGTTCATTGTTGTCGCGATCGTCTTTCGGGTGAGCCCGGAATTGGACTTCGAATTAAAAAACACGTTAGAGTTACCACCGATCAGTTAAAAATATTTAGGTTGATTGGACACCATCTTACATGATCTGCGTTTTACCAGAAATATATCGGATTCGGGAGTTGATTACAGTCAAGAAAGGATTATCACCCTTAAACTGCCATTTCGGTACCATTTTAATTTGTTGGTTGTCTTAATGGCGAAAATTAAAATTTAAAGATTAAATTTGAATTAATTACCTTTGATCGATTGAAATTACTTCTAAAAAGTTAAAAACGTTATATTATAAAATAAAATAAATATCAAATAAAAATTAAATTTTTAAAAAATAAATCAAAGAAGGAAATATTAAATTTTAAAAAATATTAAAATAAATAAATGAAAATAAATGAAAAATATTAAAATTCATAAAAAAAATAAAATATAAAAAATATTAAAATAAAAAATAAAAAAACAAAACAAAATAAAATAAAAAAGAAGTGGAAAAATAAAAATAAAACAAAACAAAATAAAAAAGTGTTAAATTTTAAATAAAATATAAGGGAAATATAATAAAATAAGAAATAATATTAGTTAAGTTAAAAAGAGAGTTTTTAAAAGTTTTCTTTAAAATAAAAGATAAGAATTAAATAAAATAAAATAATTAAATAAATAATCTAAAGAGATTGAGATATAGAGAAACTCATAGTGAAAACAGTCTTAGGCTTCAGCTTTGCTTCAAATTCCTCGAATCATTGAAACAGATTTTTACTTCAAAATTCACATCGGCTTACAAGGACAATTCTTCATTGTCGACTCGGATTATGTTGTTTTAACAATAACTGGTTCCGATCTAAGTTTCCTTTTAGCAAACAATTTTGCTAAGTGTGTTCTAAGAAAGTCGAACATGCTTGAATAAGTCAATCCTTCTTACAATTCTCACGTTTGGAATTGAGTCTTCGCTTTAGCCCTCGGCTTAAAAGAAAATTAGCTAAGCATGACCAAAGTCATACTTAGCATTTGTTGAAAACGAAAATTAAAAGAAAATAAAGGAGTATGCGAAAATAGAGAAAACTAGAGAGAAAAAGAAGATTTTATTCTCAGATGTGTTTTCTTAGGCTTACCCTGAGAGGGTATTCTAGCCTTCAAATTCCTAAAAACAAGCTAAAGAAAATTCCTAAAATAATATCTTTTATCCTAATTAAAACACTTAAAACTATTTAAACTAAAATACCTAAAAAAAGATAAAATAAAATAATATTTAAAATAAAATCCTAATTGAAATACTAAATCTATTTAAACTAAAATACAAAGATAAAATATAATATTAATATATATACTAAATAAGCCATGGACGAAAATGGGTGTCTACAACTGCCTCTCTTTGTCTATTTTCGTGTAACGAAAAATAAGACAAAGATAAAAGGACATAAATTTTCGTTCGGTAGATGCAGATGACTTCTTCGTCGCGAAGTAGGGTCAGTATTGAAATGATATCCTTCTTCATGAAATCGGAATTTGAATCGAAAGGTGGCTTCTTGTTGCCAAATCGTAGTCAACCTTGGTCTTCTTCTCGGTTTAAAGACCTCAGTTTGAAAATTCAACCGGAAAGTAGTTCCTCGATGTTACCATATGGTTGATATGCCCTCGAGCTGAATGAAATCGAACTCGAAGGTTTTTATTGACATATAGCCATTTTCGTCTTGAGCTATGCTGTAAATTCGGCTAAGAGATAATTCATTGTTGTTAAATCGCAACCAACCTAGGTCTTCATCTTGACTTAAAGACCTCAGTTTAAACTTTAACCGAAAAGTAGTTCCTCGTTGCTACCATACGGTTGATATACCTTCAAGCTGAATATAATCGAACTCGAAAGTTTTGTTGAGAGATAGCCCTTCTCGCCTTGAGCTATGCTGTAAATTCAGCTGGGAGATAGTTCCTTGTTGCTAAATTGCAGCCAACCTAGGTCTTATCCTTGACTTAAAGACCTCAGTTTAAACTTCAACCGAAAAGTAGTTCCTCATTGCTACCATGTGGTTGATATGCCTTCAAGCTGAATGGAATCGAACTCGAAAGTTTTGTTGAAGATAACCCTTATCGCCTTAAGCTATGCTGTAAATTCGGCTGGAAGATAGTTCATTGTTGCTAAATCGCAACCAACCTAGGTATTCTTCTTGACTTAAAGACCTCGGTTTAAACTTTAACTGGAAAGTATTTCCCCGTTGCTACTATGCGGTTGATATGCCTTCGAGCTGAATGAAACCGAACTCGAAAGTTTTGTTGACAGATAACCCTTCTCGCCTTGAGCTACGCTGTAAACGGTTCCTCTAAGTGAAGTATGGATCCCCTTCGCGGATCTAAGTCAATCATAATTCTTTAGTTAACTCCCCTTCACGGGAGAGCCAAGTGGTATATCCTTCAGGTGGTTCCCCTTCACGGGTTTGAACCAGGTGAGATGATCTTTGGATGACTCCCCATCACGAGAAACTCATGTGGTATATTCTTCAGGTGGTTCCCCTTCTCGGGTCTGAACCAGGTGAGATAATCTTTGGATGACTCCCCTTCACCAGAAAGTCATGTGGTATATTCTTCAGGTGGTTCCCCTTTGCGGGTCTGAACCAGGTGAGATGATCTTTGGATGACTCCCCTTCACGGGTAAGTCATGTGATATATTCTTCAGGTGGTTCCCCTTCGAGGGTATGAACCAGGTGAGATTATCTTTGGAGGACTCCCCTTCACAGGAAAGTCATGTGAGATGTTCTTCGAGTGACTCCTCTTTGTGAGAAAGCCAAGTGAGGTAGTTTTTCAGATGTGACCAAATAATAATAAAAAATACAAAATGCCTTCCTTTTAGTGCAATTTCCAAAATCTGACATCCTGCACAGAAAATAAATAAATTAAGCCACAAAAACCAATGATTAAGGAGTGATTTAAAACAAAATATTAACTAAATTAAGCATTTATCAAATTCCCCTCACTTATTCAATGCTTGTCATAAGTTTTCATCTTCGATTTCAATTTATTCCTTAAACTTCCAATCGAACTAAGTCCATGACATTTGCCGAATTCAAGTTACAATCAAGCAAAGACACAACAAGGAAAAATTTAAAGTAATCAAGACATCCCAATTAATTGCTAATTTCAATGAAACATGAATCAATACCTCACAAAGATTCACACATATCCACTCAAAGTGTTTGGGGTGAATGAAATCGCTCAAGCCGAAACAAACCAAAACATTACCATAGGCTTGGAATCCAATCAAGTCTCTACTACGAAAAATGAACATAATGCAATAATCAAGGGGTCTTTAAACAAGGTGTAATGGGGCTTAGGTTAGGGTAGGAAAAAGGCCAAAAAGAAAGGTTTAAAATACCGATACAAGAGATCGAAATAATTAAGAACAATCCACGAATTGACATGAAGCATAATGAAACAAGGAAAAAGAATAGATGAAAGACAATTGAAACGATCAATTTTTCTTTTCTCTCTTCTTTTTGTTGTTCGAAATAGTGAACAATTTCTTATTTTTTTCGATTTTTTTTAAACAACGATTTTTTTCGTGGAACAAAAGTGATACAAGATCTCAAGTTTCAGTAAGGGTGTGAAAAATAGGAAAATAAAAAGAAAGGCTTCGAGTTTAATTATGAGGTATAAAACAAAGAAAGGGAAATAGGCTCAAATGTGGTTCACTAGTGGATATGTAATTGAGTAGGCTTTTTGGGAAAGTGGGTTTATTCTAGGTGCCCCTATCACATTAAAACATTACGTTCAACACGTTGTCTCGATATGCATTGTGATTACAAGTTCTAGAATATCCTAATTAGTCCAGCATAATCAAGTCAAACAATGAGCAAGAAAGAAAATGTATGCTCGTTAGGCTCAAAGCTCACAAAAAAAGTTTATATGCATTTAGTCAAGTTCATCTCTATCGACAAAAGCATGAAATGTCAATACTCTACAAAAATTCAGCACCTATACCAATCACCAATCATGCAAATTAAATTCGATCAAAACATGATCACAATCCAAAAGGAAGAAAGTGTATAAGGTGAAGTTCAAGACCGGCAACCAACGATCCCAACACATTAATGTCAGAATAACTCGATTTCAAAAAATCAAACGAGTTAAGGAAATATTTGACGACATGCTTATATTTCCCCCTCACTTAATCCGTTTTGTCCCAAAACGTATGTCGAATTTAAAAACAAAGAGAAGGAAATGAATACTCCCCAATCTAGTGGCAAAATAATTTGGACCATTTCTCGATTTGTGCGTGTCATCCTTGTGCAAGGGTCATGCTAATCTTTGTCTGAGAAATCAAAGTTTAGTGGCTCTTAATTTTCAGCAGGTTTGCTTGCCAATAAATCCGATATGGCACTTCCCTTTATAGCTTTTTTGACTCACGTACTCGATGTCAAATTCGGATAACAGTATCTGCCATCGGGCTTTTCGATGGGAGGATATCTGACCTCGCAATCGTGAACTTCTTACTTTGGTAGTAAATGACCCTTTATTTCCTCCCGGATTCATCATGTTGACCTAGAACACACCCCATTGAATTCTCAAACAAGAATAGAGGTTTACCCGGTGTTTGTTCCCTCTTCTCATGAGACATTTTCTGTTAGTTAATGTGAATGTAAAAACATGGAAAATGAAAAAAAATGCAAGGTATGAACATAATGCGTGATGCATGAGAATTTAGAGGCATTGATCTAGAAATGTGTCTGTTATTATAAATAATCTTTATTGAGACAAAAATGTTTTATTTTTTAAGAGACAAAAATATCTTAAAGGTACGTTCTGACTAAATCCTCTAAACCCCAAACAACTTCTAATAGGTTGACAAGTCTTCTTCCT